TCTCGACGGCCCTGTCGGCGTCAGAGTGTCATTTAACCTCGTGAGTGGGCCTCTGTCCGAGTGACAGGGGTTAACAGAGAGGGATCTACGACGGCTGGCCGGGAAGCGTGGCGTGGCGTGGAGGGGCGGGTAAAGGAGGCCGGACCGGCCCGGCCTAATGCATACGGGCGTCCCAGTCCATTCCTATCAAACAGAATACTCGTGAGAACGCCACACAACCTCTCGGGAATTCACAAGGGCGGGGGAGAGGAGGGGGGAGTTCCAACGCAGGTTTCGCGCGAGCGGACAGAGTTACGTCAACAGTCGAGCACCTCCCGGCGCGGACTGTACCACCGCAATCCGCATAGCATCTACATCAGCGATATGGCCGGCCGGGCCCGGCGCCGCGCCCTGCCGTGCTGTTCGGGGCGATGCGACGCGACGCGTTGAGGCAACCCGCGGTCCACAAGGGGCCTTCGCGCCGCTTCGAGATTCGGGCCCGACGACCGTTCTGTTGGTTGGTTCAGCCAAGTGATCAATTATTTTGACACTCATTTGATGACAAAACTATATTGGCAAGGGGGCGTGATCAGCGAGTTACGTGTAGAGATGATTAGCATTCTTTTCACGAATCAGTAATCAGTCTGCCTTGGAGCTGCGGTTCTCCCCATTATTTTGTCATCCCGACAACCGAAGAATGTTTCCATAAAAACATTATTTACGTTGGTAGATTTCAAGAAATATACCCATCGGAATGTCTATATAAAGAGCTATTACTGACGTGGAATATTTCTTGAAAGCGTAATAAAACTGCACAGCCCGGGTTCTTTGATAATCAATGATTGTGGACGGTTTACATGCCTGACTTCACTTTTAATTTCTTTATACTTCTCATTCTCAAATACTTCTCGACATGATTTGCATCAATTCTTACTATATTATTTTTAGTGACGATATCAGAACAAACCAAATCGCTCGTAAAATACATTCGTAACCTCGAACTGCAGTCGCAGAACCGACACATATCGAGCCATTCCCAGTTGGCAGAAGAATACTCTCTACTCCACCGTTTAAGAGCCTGCCAAAATGGCCGTCCGCTGACCTGCACCGAGGGCATTGCTCGGCCGGGTCCCGCGACGCGACGGACGGACGGAGCGCTGCGGCAACCCGCGTCCCTCGAGGGGTCCCTCCGCGCAGGAGATTCGGCTCCGCGCTACACGGTCCAGCAAAGCGAGCGTTCGGGAGTCGCCCCGGTTTGCTTTCTTAGTCATCAATGGCGCTTCAGAAACCGGTCTGGCCCTCCGAAGATCAACACGCTAGCGACCCCGCTCCTCTCCTCTCGTCTCCGCTCCGCCGCGCGCAACCTGAGCGCCAACTGCTGAACAAATACACCCGCGCCGAAGGAGGTGGTTCCCTGGAACAGCGGCGTCGCGTCGCGTCGCACACATACACACAAGGCGCTCTTTTTTTTCGTCCGAGTGATGACGGCATGGGCCCGAACGCCAAGGAAACCGGCAGTGAAGGCTTCTTTCACCTCGGGAGTTTATCGGGGGCTACATCTGCGCCTGGACCTTCCTGTTCGGTTCCTTCAGTTACGTGTTTACGAGATCCATCACGACTTTAATAATACACCTTCAGCTCGGCGTCTTTCGTACTGCTATGTTACATTTCAATAAAATAATTGATACGAATGTATCAGAATAAGTACAAGAGTTAGGATATTGTCGAAAAATTAAATGTCACTTTGCATTATCACCATGTTTAATGTAACATCGCTTATTGATCGAGTATTGGAACTATTTCACTTTCTTTTGTACCCTATGTTTATTCTCGATAATACACTTTGTATATCAGAGACGTATAGAAACGTTCAATTTCTCGCTTCCAAAAAATCGTATCAATTTTTACATAAGTGAATGAGGATAAGAAAACCAACGGTATATTCATCGAAGCGAAGAAATGCAATAACATTTAATTTCTACGTAACGAATAATGTCGAATGAACGTCTTGCATCTGGCGGCCGATATGTTAAGACGTTCCGTGCACTGGTCTGATGTATATAATTAATTTTCATTTTTTAATGAGAATAGAATTTTTATGGGAATAACAAATAACAGTGCCCAAGTAGACGCGAAGTCTACTGCGCAAGTAGTTGAAAGCAACGAATTGACCCTTGTACGAAATGACCTATCACACACTACTTTTAATCGGATGCTAGAAAATATTTAGAACGCATTATTACCCAGCCAAAGTCCCTTCTCGAGGTTGCCACATCTATCCCACACCCGAACCAGCTCAACTTCTCGAAAAGCGCACGTCCCTCACCACTCGAGGCGACATCGCGCGCAGGAAGTTCTCCATGTGTTGGGTGCAGTGGATATCCGCCCGGCCGGCACGGAAACACACGTCACATTAAGCTTTCGTCCGACTGTCCTGTCGCGGGCTCTCGGGGCCGTTCCTTTCACGCGCCAAGATTTACGAGACGCACACGCGTTCCCTCAGACAGAGGACCCTCCGTGTTCACCAGAACCTGTTAATTGAGAGCTGCGTCCGCGACCGCTCAAACCAGATCCTAACGAGTCCGCGCCACCGACCCGCGCTCGCTCGCCCTTCACTGCGCGCGGCCTAAGCACGGACGACACCTACAAGTCGCCTACCCCGACGAGCGCGCCGATCCGGAATAGAAAGTTCACACGCACCGCCATTAATCCTCGGGGGGAAAAATCCGATCTCCTGCGTGGCAGGACACGAAGCTCGTTCGGAATGACACTCGCTGCGGTGTGAAAAAGGAAACGGCTTTCTTAGCGGGGCCCTTTTACGCAGGAAAAGCCAGCCGATCTCCTCCCACCTCCGGGCACAACCTGTTTACCGACCCCTGCCCTCGCGTCTAAACATGTGGCCGCCGAGTGTTTATGTAGATGTTTACGGCCCAAAGGGGGGAAGAGGAGGAGGAGGAGAAGAGTGCGGGGGTGGAAAGGGACTGGCGGGGCGCCGCGTCGGTAAAAACAAATGTGTAGGAAACGGCCACTGTGGGAACGCTGGGGGACGACGTGGGAGAAGAGTGTCACTGAGGTCATAGCTGGTCGTGGAAATTGAAACCAGCAAGAGGCCGTTCTTTTCAGGTCCAATCACAATCTAAATATATCCTATATAAAGAATCATTGTAATCTAATTGTAGAGCATAGTTCACAGATTAAGATCCAAGTTGTTTAAAATATTTCTGAAACGGTTTCTATCTTTTTTTCTTCCAAAAAACAAAGAGCTTCAATTGCTTCGGCACAAGGAGATACATACCAATTCTGCCACTTTATATTCGATATAACGATTTAAACTATTTGAACTATGAAACACCCTCAATAAAATTACTTTTAATGGAAACGAGCTGAACTTCAAACTACCAACATTCATGTACCGTTGACGCAATATGCAGTGACTAAGCGGGCCGCCCTTTGATACGAAAACAGGCCTCATCGTCAAGGTCTTAGGAAGATAAGATTAGTACGACGAAATGGAACAAATGATATCGTTTCACATATCAGAAATAATGTTTTTCTCAGATAACAAGAACACCAGCAATGGCAATGAACTCATTTTCTTTCGTATTATAAAGGAAGCCAACCAGAGGAGCAATGTTTTCTACATTCTACAGGGTTTAACAAGACGTTATCGTTTTATTAGTACCCTCTCAGTCTGGAAGGTGAAAACGCCCCATGAAAAAAATATTACCCCCACATACAAATATTTGATTTGGAAATATAAAAGGATTCAGATTTTTTCAGTATCATTATGCAATTAGTTCCGATTTGCGGCACAGTGCTGCCAGTCCCTTCATGGAGAATAAACCACTTTATCACAATGTTTCAAAAGTATTAAGAAACTGTTACTCGAGTTTTGATAATACTGTCAGATTTATTATTTTACATTAAGCTCGATTGAGTGTTACGGTAATTGACAAATGGAAAATTTAATTTACAACAGTATCCTACACAACGTACATTTATATTAATAGCAAAAGTGACTCATATCAAAAATTGCCGGTTTCATTCAAGTTAATTAATATATTCAGAAAATTGTATTTTTTTACTCGTAAAAATTAAGAAGGATGTATTCTAAACCAGCGGAGAGATGGAGTAAATCTTTTATCTTTGTCTACGAAGTCAATGGTCCCGTTCAGATCAAAAGTGTTCTTCAACAAAATGAGAATATTTGAAATGTAATACTTGTGTGCTGTGTGTTTACTCTTCCCCTTTTCGGAGGAGACTCGTGATGTACTGTAAGAGGACTTGTCTTCCACTTCTGGGTGCCAGGGTTCTAATCTCGGTAGCTCCATGTGGAATTTTATGGTCAAAGGGGGGTTTGCGGTCACATTTTTTAGAGGGGATTCTCCAGTTTTTCTCATAACACCACTGCTCCGTCATTCACACCATATCCTCATTCTGATCTAAATGAAATGAAGGGATCCGGGCAGTTAAAAGTTAAACCACACCAGACACAGCTAGACTCCCACTATTCTCAAATGTGAACATGTCTATTTTCGTCTAATCGTGTCTCTTCTTGTTAGTGCAGCAAGCCTTTTATACATATGAACAAGATATGAAAATATAGTAAGAATATAAGCCACACTTCGATCAGAATCGAGATATTAACGTTCGAGAACATCGGGAGACTTGCGACAAGCTGGTACGCCTTATCCTGTTTCTGCGCTAAGCCCTTCAAATACTCTGTGAATTCCAGGTGTGGCGGTAAGAGCACTGGACATAATAATATTGGGGAAAAATGAATTAAAAAATGTAATTTAGATTTAAAATGTCGAGTTAATTTTGAAGCTATTTATATCTCTAATCGTTTCGAGGAGCACTTTTCCTCTTCTTGAGGAACCTTAATATACTGTTGTCATTCGCAGAATTAATGTCAATGACAGAATTTATTAAGACTCCTGAAGTGCTCCTCGAAACTGTGAGAGATGTAAAAAGCTTCAAAACTGACAGAACATTTTTAATAAAAATGTTCAACCTAAATTATGGTTTTTGGCTTTGAATATGCATGTGAAGCGAGTCCCTGGTCGCGTTGCTCGGCGCGTGAGCGAGTGCTATGTGCTATGTGCCGTGTGCTGCGTGCGCAGGGCGAGGTGCACCTGCGCGCCGAGGGCGAGCTGCGCCTGCCCGAGCACACGACGGCGCTGCGCGTGGAGGGCTGCGCGCGCGTCGAGGTGCACGAGCGGGCCGTGCACGCGCTGCGCCACCTGCGCTCCGTCGAGCTGCGCGGCGCGCAGGAGCTCGTGCTGCACCCCTACGCCTTCAGCCGCCCCGGCGGCCCAGAGGTACGAGGAATATTGTTTCGGATATTCTAATTAATGCTGTTTTTAAAATTTAAATTCATTAATGCGGCTAGGCAGGAGAGCAGGCTTTATCATCCGAGTCTAGCCACAAATTCACTATTATTATTATTATTATTATTATTATTATTATTATATTTATTATTATTATTACTAAAACAATAATTTGAATTATTAACACCATTTTGGCGATTGAAATCAGATGTTAAAAAACGTCATTTGGACACGCAGATTTATAACTTGAAGTATCCACAAATCTTCGAGACCAAATTGTATGTACAAAATATCCCTCAATTAACGGGAATTAATATTAAATTCTCGTCTAAGCAAAGTTCCCCTTTTAATGTTACATTCTAGTTACTTAATTTCGAGAGGTTTCGTTCAATAATAACTATCTACCAATTGTGCAGACCTGAGGAAATTGGATTTATTTATTTAAACGTTAATTGTCGAAATCACTGACGACTATTTTTTACTGCTTCCTAATTGATATAATTATTGCTTACAAATATGAAATAATCGCGTAAAAATTTTCTAAAACTTAATTATACAATAAAAAGCGACTTCACAGCGTTTCACCACTATTCTCTTAAGTCTTAAATGCCAACTTTTTCACATTTCCCTTCTCTCAAGGAGAAAACACTCTCCGTGACTTTAGGTAGTTCAGTCTGTGTTCTACTACGCTTTCATCGACTTAATCACGTCGTCATTCCACCTTTGATCAGAGAATGCTCTCAACTTTTTTAATAACGCAGAAGATCCGCCAAATCTGAGATACTTCCATCGTAGAATCTTTAATGAAACCTAACACTACTGAACTGTACGAAAAAAGATCCCGGAAGTCAGTTTAATAAGAAGCAGTAAAATTAAGACAGAATATGACGGTTTCGTCTTAAGCATTTTTCGAGATATGTTCTGCCTTCTAGAGAGGTTCGAAAAATTCACAATAACTTAATCCATGATTTTTGTTGCAATTTTCCAAAGAAACAAAATAATGAAATTATAGTATAATTTATGATGGCATATAAACGAAGCAATGCAGAAAAAGAAGCGAAACGCCAAAGGAGTGAAAATTACCGAACATCCATTTATTTATCCATAAGGCACCGAAGTTAAGTATGGTTTAGATTTTCCAGAAGGACTTTCCCCAATTCGACCTATAACGGGTAAAAAAGGAAAAAAAAATATATTCGTTCAGTTCCGCATTGTTACCCTGGGCGCTATGTATTCTTTCAATATAATACCTGAAATTAAAATATTAATTTTCTTCTAAGGCGGATTATAATTACTTCCAGTTCTCAAAAAACCTTCCGCACTGAGCATAATTCCGGGCGGGAGAGTTCATTTTCACGAATAAAGTCGCTCGGTTCCAAAATTTTTTGTCCGGCAAAGCAGCTTTCCTTCCTGCAGAGCTTCCATTATAAACAGGCCTTGCTGTATTTCACTATCATTGGCCTTTGGTAGCCACCGTCCCACACAATATCACGTCGGTGGCAAATGCTATGTAAATGCGACGCCTCTGTGGGTTCTGCATTTTATCAGCCTACTAACGAATCCCGCATTTCTCTTTGATCTTGCTGCTTTGACGGGTCTCGGGTTCAGCTTGCAAACTCAGAGAAACCTCATCACCGACGAACAGTGACATCAAAATGTCGCATTGCACTTAAATAATTGGCAAAATTGCACTTAAATAATTGACAGACAGCGTCAGAGAGGTCCTTTAGATTGACTGCCAGTGGTCAAGGAGCGTGCAGCATGCTCTCGGCCCTTTTAATAATATAAATTCCTTAGAAAAATAATTAATTAACTTGCCATCCCTTAGAATGTTAATAAACTTGCACAGAGAACTGCAAATTGACTATATATTGACTATATATTGAGTAAACTACATTCACCATTAAACTCAACTCTCCCCTACAAACTCATTTAATTTAGGAATAAATTAAAACACATCTAAAAATTAACAACGTAACAGAATTTTGAAACTGTATAAAATTATGATTGTATTTTCCATCTGATTTGCGGGTACTGCAATCGTTACATACATCGTCTTGGGGAATATTTGTGTATGTAACAAATAAAACCTCTGGAAGTCAGAAATGGGGAACAGCCAGTAATACATTAAAATAAAGCTTTCTCTCGCCTCTGACAACGGCCGGGCGTGTGGGAGCTATTTGCGCGTGATATACTGCACGCGCAAAGAGCATAGAGGGCACCTGCACCCGCACTGGCGCTTTGAAGTCATCACTCACATAACATGTGCCCCGCAGTTCACTTTCCTCGGGATTGCTGACGAAAGGGGAAAACTAAATACGAATGAACCGACAGAGGCGTTTTTCAGTACCGCAAGAGACATGGCTAAACACTATCCATCAGCGGTATAGCAGGTCGTCCTCGTTTAATTCCCAGAATTCTCCATTACAAGCAAATTAACACATACTATTCTCAATTGAAAAAAAATACAGATTTTATGTTATGACAATGGCCATTAACTTTTAAAATTAATTCCAAACCTTAACATATTTACATTGATGCGTCACAAGATATTTAAAATGATTAACAAATTATTTTCTGTACACGATCTGCGTAGAAATTCAGCAAAACATTACCTGTCCTACTGGACTGAGTAAGAAATTTAAAAAACAACATAATTTCAGTATGCTTTCGTAGGCTTCCGCGGCCGGAGTTCATTCTTGGCTATCCGGGCCGCATCTCGGTCAATTGTGTTGACGTTTGAGCAGCAGTATAGGTCTGAAGAACGCCACAGCAAGATGGCAGAAACGTCAGCACAACGGACCCGAGACACGGCTCATCCCGGATACCCAAGAATGTATAATTGCAGTAGTCCAAATCTAACAATAATACCAATCATTGTGAACAATATTCGGAAAGAACGAGTTTCTTTGCTTATTCTGTTTACTTAAAGTTAATCAGAAACAGTGTTTTTCAACTAACTAAAAAAATACGAAACGTAATTATCATGTTCACCCATTCCAAGTTAAGGCATACCAGTATAGAAAATTTTGTCAAAATCAAATTACAAGTTGAAAAGTTTGCAGGACAGACCGACCTACATTAATTGAAAAGATATTGATTTGTACAAAATGATTTTGTAGATATGAACGGCTTAGAGTAGTAACTACATAATCCCCAAAAGCCACAGAATGACTCCTGTTAGTTGTATTCATAAATGTAATATTTCGATTTTGGTCGAAGAGGGTCTCATCTTGTTACTGCCAGAAGCTCTTTATAAATATGAACTAGTAAGAAAATACGCCCCACTTGCACGAACATTTACGAATTAACCAGTCGTCTTATGGCTGGTGTGGCGTATCTTGTAACTGCCTCACGTCCTTCATAAAGACTAATGTCATGATCCTCCCCTACCCCCGAAATCTTCTGGACCTAAGATTCTGGGAGGAAATTGTTTACTGACAAGAGGGATCTTAAAATTTTCTATCTCTCCCGCCCCCCCACCGAAAAAAAACAACACGGTACGTCCATCATTAATGTGATTGATCAAAATTTCCTGTGGGTCGGGCGGGCGGTCTGCGTGGGCGGTGTGCAGTCTTCCGCAATGTCGCACAGCGGTCGGGCGGAGGGGGCGCCTCTGCTATCAAAAAGCGCTTCCGCTCGATAAACGCCTCGACACAAAACGACTCCTTGTTCCCGCGGCGCCGATTTTTTTAGGTCAATCGTTTTATACGCCGCGGGTGAAGCTTCGATAAGATTTTGAGCAGCGCTTCTCAGCTGCCAATACAGTAACTAAGGCATGAGAGAAGGTTATACGAATGTACTTATTGCACAACAAGGAACACGCGTTAAAGACGCCACAGCATTCGGACAGCGCCAACTAGAAACGACGGTTGGGGAGACTGGTGACCCAAACCTCCTATAGACCATTTGCCCAAACTCTTTTGGAGCCTAAAAGGTTCCATTTCCTTCACAATGAGCGAATAATTCATTTTGAAAGAACTTTCGTCTCTACTTATGGGCTAGAAGTCCAAAGTTGTGGTAGATCCGATATTTTCTTCCTGCCTCGGGATGGCTAGTTTAATAAATTGTATTACCTGTTTTTGTGTAAATGGTTTAATATATGTAATGCCATGAGAGACGATCGTATAATGCGCAGATCGTGGATCACAGCCACCTTGCGATTTCGACCGCAAGTGTTCACAGAAAATCAGTTTCATTTTCTATCGAACGCCTCATTTCGATTCCTTCAGTCAGCAAATTTAAGCGTTCCTTATCTGCAGTAGTTTATAACACACCTTTTCATGCGGCGTCCTTAGCATTTTTGACGTGATGACTGTTCCTGCTCGTTTCAAACGTATATGTACTTTTCTTTTGTAATAATAATAATAATAATAATAATAATAATAATCGAAATGGTTCAAAAGGTCGACATTTTTCATCAGGGTACCAGTTAGGTACCACTGATTTAAAGAACTACTATATTTCTGCGTTCCACAGCGCTAATGTACAGGTTGACTCAGAATACATTTTACAAATTTCTACGGCGTGGAGAGGGACGAGGGCGGAAATGATCGCTTTTCTCTAATGTACATACACTGGTATATTTTATGTAGTAAAGCATGTAGTATATATTTCATTCAACGGAGTTGCCCGTGTGTCATTTGTCCTAGATTGTTAGGGAACTACTTAATTACCGATGTTTTGGAGGTCACGTTTTGACGCCATGAAAGAGATTTCGAGTACCTGCCGAACGCCTAAGCACACGGGCTTGCCTAACAATCAGGGGCAAATGTTTCATGTGACAATTTCGTTCTTCTTATATTATTGGAAATTACCCAACGCCAGTTCTTTTGCAAAAAGTGATCATCTTCGATCCCCCTACTTGCCCTAGAAGTTTGTAACATTCTGAGCGCCCCTCCACAGTAACCTCTTGCTTGGCGTGCCGCAGGGCGCGGAGGCGGGGTCGTCGGAGAGCGGCGGGGGCGGCGGCGGCGGGTCGGCGTCGCGGGGCGGGGGCGGGCACCCGGACGTGGCGTCGGCGCCGTACGGCTCGTCGCACGGCCATGCGCTGCCGCCGTCGCCGGGGCTGCTGGAGGCCGAGGCCGGCCCCAGCGTGGTGGTGGAGGGCGCGCGGCTGCCGGGGGGCGTGCCCAGCTACGCCTTCCGCGGGCGCCTGGCGCGCGTCGCCCTGCGCCGCTGCGCCATCCAGGGCAGCGTGGCCGCCTTCGCCTTCGCCAGCCTCGCCGCCACGCACCTGCTCGAGATGGCGGACTGCACCATCGCCGCCGTCGAGGGGCAGGTGGGTGAGCGGCAAGCGACCGACGGGGACTCGTCTTCCCAATACGGTTCATGCGTTTACTCCAGGTTCTCAAATTTCGAAACCAGTTTCTGGTTTGAAGTGAGTTTCCTGGGAGTTCCACTATTTTATCTGCTCCCCAGCTACCATTCCACCATTATCTTTCATTCCATAGTGTATGCCTTATCATCTACTCATGAATCATTTGTTCTCATGAATTCACTCATTCAACTAATGAATTCTTTGAGTTGGCGAACATTTCGGTTCACGATATTTGGTCTACATGAAAGTGATACTAAGACTAAATTAATTAATTTGGGATGCATAAAGTACCTACTATCAAAGATTGAAAGGAGAGAAGCTTTGCCACTTTTCCCAATCTCGCCGGCACGCATCTGCTCGAAATCACAGACTTCGCGCTCGCCGCCGTCGAGGGACAGGTGGGTGGGTGGATAGTCTCCCAGTGGCCCACTACAATTCCCCTTGGACGGTTGGGCACATCCTTCATGTGATGGGGGCGGGTGGCGAATATTCACCAGTCTTCAGACTATTCGTTATTTGATAAATTTATTTATAATTATATTTTATCACGCACATTTCTTAGTACACGTTTTTTATGTTCACGAAATGAAGGAGTTAAGACTTTCAATATTCAACTTTATACTGGGTATTGCAGCTCAAATCTAGATCTCTAGATGACTAACAGAATTTGTGGTCTGTAAAGCGTTTTTGCAGTTACTTTCCTTGGACTTTTACAATTTCTCCCCCTTTTTATTCATTCATTACATCCACCACTCATTTCTTCACTATTTCATTATCATTTAGTAAGTTCTTCATGTACTCATGAGAATATTGGCCATCGTTTGTGAAACTGAACGTGTGAATACAGGCCACTGGGATACATCAGTCATATTAAATGTTAAACAATTCATTACGTATGCATGAAGTACGTACTATAAAGGCATTTACTAACGTGCATGATACAGAATAATACATAAAACTATCAAATAAAGATATCGGAACAGCCGAGACAATGGGTAAGCGCATGTGATGGTAGGTCTGTGAGCTCTCTCCCCCATTAATAAAACAAGGGCGAGTCTGTAACGGTCGATTAGAGAGAGGACAATCCCGAGTGAAGTTCGCCTAACGAGAACTGGATGGTCAATTGACATCGCCGCGGAAAATGAGGTCCCGCGCGTAAGGGCGCGCTTCATTTCCGACGGAAGAGTAGGGCAGTGGCGCGGCGGGCGTCGCTCACACTGCAGGGCGGCAGCGGGGGCGGGGTGGGGCGACACGTGGCGACATTTCTGGCGCCCTTTGACGCCGGACGGCGCCGCCGCCGCCGCCGCCTGGCCCACGGGCTGGCGAGCGGCCAACCTCCGTGAGCTCCGCGCATCGCCGCACTCCCGCGCTGCCAGACGAAGAGGCGCCACTGATGTGGAGAAACTGGCCTAGGAAGGGACCAAGTGACTGCTACTACTCATTCGCTCGCCAATTGGCGCTCCCGCCCTCGTTTCTTCGCAGATGGCTATTTTGGGTATGATTTCGACGATGCCTCGTGCGATCTTTGTAGAATATATGAAGGTAGAATGATGAAAATATGCACGAGAAACAAATGAAATCACAGCGTGCGGTGCTATTTAAGGTTATTTAATTTTTTTTTACATAAAGCATATTTCACATTTTTTGTGACAAGCACTACGAATATTTTAAAACCGAGTCTAAATGTGAGGTCATACGTTCAGGTTCCGGGTGCTTTCAACGAACAAAATCGTTTTACGAAGAGATGTTGGCTGAATAGTTGTTGTGAGAGAGGATTAACTTCTCTGGAGGCAAGACGATGTTCACTTGTTTACCGAACAGTCACTTCGGTCCTTTCTTAGGCAAACTTATCTAAATTACAGTAGATCCACGAAGAACAATTTCCACTCAATACGAGCTATGTTGTATTGGCAGCCTTGCCACCTCCTTAACCATCCGCTGTCTCCTGACAGCCTGCTATTTGTCTCCCAAAGAGGAAAGATCGCTACCCCTATGGCTCGCAACACAAGCCCCGCCTTCCTGTTTTACGGGACATCGATGGCGCTGTTGCTTTGGTTTGATGTTATGTTCAATGCGAACAGAAGAGCAGATAAGTTCATGTACTGAAGTTATGCCAATTCTTCGACACTTTCCACATCCAGGAATTTTGTTTCTAATGACCTTTTCTTATATTTTACTATACATCACTTTTATCACATTCAAATTTTACATTCACTATTTCATAACTCCGTGGGGAACAATAAAGTACTATGTAAACGTACGGATAAAAACTCTTCATTTTCTGCTTTAATTCTGCCTTTCCGAGTGCGCGACGCAACGCAGCAATATACAATAAGCCTTAAGACAGGCAGTTTAATCAGAACAAATCAGAAACAAAAATTACAAATTTCCAGACAATCTCCACTTTTTTATAAAATATGAAATCCCCCAACTTATCCACTTCAAATATCAAAAAGATACACAAAAATATTGTGCTATCTGCGCCTGGCATTTCTAATATACTACTGTATTTTTATTTTGGTATTTATTTTTCAAAAAGCAGCACATTCTATTAACCGACATGAAATAAAAACAGTTTAGTAAGCAGCAGTTTCTTCCTTCCCGGGCCACGAACCACACGCCACCCGACACCTTCACGACAACTCCCTGCTAACCCAGACAATGCAATCGTTGCGCGACTTCGCACGTCCTTTTTCCCTTGACCGGATTAAGCCAGCCAGCTTTCCACCGGCACGGAGTGCGTGGAAGCGGCCTTCCGCTGTGATTGGGGCGGGCACTAATTGGAGCGCTAATTGGCTTCGCTCGCCCCGCCGGCGCCGCGCACTAACAAACGCGCCCCTGGCGCCGACGGACCGGACCGACCGACCGGGTCGCGGACAACGAATCGGACGAGGATTTTTCCGCGAGGCACCAGGATGTTCGTTCCAACGCCCGCCCGCTCGGTTTCCGTCCTTCGGAAGTTCCGTGTCAGCTGGTGCGAAGCAGCGGAGGCGAAACAATCGTTTCTTGTAGCGACGGCGCGAATCTGTTTTCTCGAATTCGGAACCCTAATGCTCCTGCATTCCTCGACACCATGAGAAATTAAAATAAATTAAGACAACGCTCTTTCACGAAACACTCGGGCAGAATAATTCGGAAGGTGGGTTGAATTTCAGGAAAGATGTCACCGCAAATCATTCCAATTGTATTCATAAATTCCTTTGTATTAAAAGAAAATTGTAAGTTTAGGAAAGATTCGTTGGGTACATGTAGATTAACGTAACAGAAACGTTGCACACCTAAAAGGATAGAGCAGAGCAGGAAGAAAAATGAGATGGAAGTTTTTCCATTCCGTTTCTTGCGTCTATTGTCCACTTCCAGAGAAAACAAAAACCGTGACGAGCACAAGGAGACGGTGGGAAGTACTAAAGGGGAAGAGAGAAGAGGGTGTGGACAAGGAAGGGAAACATAACTTTCACGCGGAAAGTGGGCGGGGCCCCTTGCACCCACGCGCGTCCGGTGGAAACACGAGGCAAACGTCCGCTCGCTTGACAATGGATGACGTCGGCAACAACACCGATGAATGGCAACTTCTTTGGGGTATTTCAATACATCAATTAGCTAACTCGTGCCCGACAATAAAAATCGCTAAGTTAGCTAAAAAGTTGAAGTTATCGCAATACATTTACTTCCCTCCTGTGGGAAATGAATCGGCGGGCATCTTTAACACACCAATAACCAACTTCTCCAGCATAATTCGAAATCCCACACCCAAATAGAACGTACCTCACACAGGTTCTACTACCGCAACATGTCATCAGTTTCTTCCAAGAAACAAACGAAATAAACACTGCACGTTAAAACATTATCAAATGTTCCAATACATTATCAAGTCGGGTATCTTCGTTCAACTTAAATTCCCAGTTGGGAGACATGATTCGAAAACACAAGCGAGCAATGGGGATCAGATGTGGATCGTATTTTATCATTGCTATTTTTTAAATTCAATCTTCATGTGCCGATTTCTGACTGAGTTGTATTCTTCGATTAATAATTGTATAATTTAAATGAAAATGTTTTATTTAAATTATTTTATTAATTTAATTTCCAAGCCATCCAACTAAAGCCATTAAGGAACCAAACTCAAGAACGTCTTTCTACTGATGTGCGCAAGCCTTCAAGCACTTTTCAATGGAGCATATTCCTCATAATAATCATCTGTCACTGAAATGACAGATCCACCCACATTCGACTTCGGTATGCACAGGCCATCAAGCGCTTCTCGGCGGAGAGCATTCCATCATTATTTCTATCGTATCATAATCACGTCTCCATTACGTTCCCAATCCATCCAGATAGTCACAGTGGAAAACACTCAAGATTGTCCCAGAACTTGTTGTGGGCAGGTGTTTGAAGGAGCCACTGGTGCCGATTCCTCCATCATTGATCCTATCATACATCAATCATCTCTCCGTTCTCATCCCAATCCATCCAGCTGCGGTCCTTCTGCAACCGCACTTGAGGACGTGTTTGTGTTGTGCGCTTGTGTCTCGTCGGCGCGCCTGGCGGTGCACTTGCCGCAATATCTTCAGAAGGCGCGCGCGCTGTGCGGTGCGCAGGCCTTCAAGCGCTTCGCGGTGGAGCGGCTGGTGCTGTCGGGGCTGGCGCTGGAGACGCCGCTGCCGTCGCGCGCGCTGGCCGACGTGCGCGTGCGCGGCGAGCTGGTGGTGGAGCGCGTGTCGGCGCC